CTGCTCTTAAACTCGCAAAGATCCTCCTGCCTCAGCCTCCTGAGTGCTGGGATTACAGGCATGCACCACCACGCCCAGCTTACAGGGAGCTTTTATGTTAGAAAATATTAAACCAAAGGGATTTTCTCTGAACTGAATATTGCACTTAGTAGAAGGAAGAGATTAGCAAATCCAGGAGCAGATCTTTGTCAAAGCAGAGTGTGGAGTGCTTAAGGGTGTTGTAAAGGACGAGTCTAATGACATAGAATTGGGATTCAAATCCAAGAAAAATAGGTGTAGGTTAGAGAGAGAAGTAATTAGTAAAGAGGAAGGGAGGATGATATACAGGAGGCTTCAGATGGAGGTATCTTCAGCACAAATATCAAAAGTAGATTCTTCCTAGCAAGTACATCCAACTGCTCCTCTGCTGTGCATTTTTTTTTCTTACTGTATTTCTCAAGGATTAAGACTCAGTTTTCTTCTCACTTACTAGTATTTTCTAACTGCCTCAGGAATATAAATTGTTCATAGGATTTCATGATATTCACACTAGTGTTGTCTTTGTTTCCTGGTTGTGTCTTTTTGGCGGCTGTTGTTTTTGAGACAGGGTCTCACTACGTAGTTCAGGCTGGCCTTGAACTCACTACGTATCCCAGGCTGGTCTGGAACTCAGGGTGATCCTCCTGCCTCAGCCTCCTGAGTGCTGGGATTATAGGTGTGTGCCACCACACCAGGCTCTTTCTGGTGGGATCTTAATTTGTGCCTTTCTGGTTAATTCTACTGAGTTCTGGCTTCTTTCTGTTTCTACCCAGTATCTAAGAGGGTCTGCTCAACAATAACCAAACATTTGCAAAAGGTTTGCAAATCCATGTCAAAATAATAACTTGACATTTTTTGTTTGTGTAAAGTAGGGTCCTTTTCAAGTCAGAAATGCAAGTCACCAAACGGAAGAGATAAGAAGTTGGCTCAGATGAATCTCTCACTTCTCTGGGCAACATGGCAACAGGATTCGAAAAAGTTCTCTAGGTTTCATGAAAGGGAGAAAACGAGTATGAACTTTTCTTGTTGCTCATAAAGAAGGAAGTTTACTCTTGGGCCAAAG